CCATGTGTTGTTATCTCTAGAGATCTAGAAACCCAGATGTTACCATGTGTTGTTATCTCTAGAGATCTAGAAACCCAGATGTTACCATGTGTTGTTATCTCTAGTGATCTAGAAACCCAGATGTTACCATGTGTTGTTATTGATAGATAAGATACTGGTTGGCTTTGTGTTATTTATTGATAAAAGTGTAATATTCAAGCACTGTTTCATTTGAATTTACAGCTCTCTAAGGTGTATTGGTACAAAACAGTTTTTTTGTGAAGATGATTTTCAGTTTGTCAGTTATAGCAGTGCTGTTTGAGGTTAATGAGTCACTTGGAATCTACAGCACAGATACAAGATGTTCTACTGCACAAACATAAGCTGTTCTACAGCATAGACACAAACTCTTCTACAGTACTGACACAAGTTGTTCTACAGCACTACAAATGTCACAAGCTATTCTACTGCATTCACTCAAACTCTTCTACAGCACTCACACAAGTTGTTCTACAGCACTGACACAAGTTGTTCTACAGCACTGACACAAGTTGTTCTACAGCACTGACACAAACTATTCTACAGCACTGACACAAGTTGTTCTACAGCACTGACACAAGTTGTTCTAGAGCACTGACACAAGTTGTTCTACAGCACTGACACAAACTATTCTACAGCACTGACACAAGTTGTTCTACAGCACTGACACAAGTTGTTCTAGAGCACTGACACAAACTGTTCTACAACATTGACACAAATTGTTCTACAGCACTGACACAAACTGTTCTACAGCAATGACACAAGTTGTTCTACAGCAATGACAAAAACTATTCTACAGCACTGACACAAACTGTTCTACAGCACTGACACAAACTATTCTACAGCACTTCAAATGTCACAAGCTATTTTACTGCATTGACACAAGCTCTTCTACAGCACTGACACAAGGTGTTCTACAAATGTCACAAGCTATTCTACACCATTGACTGCTCGTCTACAAATGTCACAAGCTCTAATCTGATATATATCTGTATCTAGCACCACTTGTGTATTATAAATATTGATACACAAAATATGAGTGTTAGCACAAAAAGTAGAGGATATATTGGTGAAGCTGTTCACACCTCCACACAGGATGGGCAAAGTTTCACTTTCTGCCAAGTACACTCTTCTTGTGTTATTATTTAAACAATGCTTTTTTTTGTTGTTGATATAACTATGCAGGTGGATAGTGTGTCACTGCATCTTATTATCCAAATCATGGGTTACTCAGCTGAAATAGAAATTTTAAAGACCATTCAGATACTTGTAGAATTTCTCCATGTTAAAGGTGTGAACACCATGAGTATAGGTGCAAACACCATGAGTACAGCTGTGAACACCACGATTACAGGTGTAAACACCATGAGTACAGGTGTGAACACCATGAGTATAGGTGCAAACACCATGAGTACAGCTGTGAACACAACGAGGACAGATGTGAACACCACAAGAACAGGTGTAAACACCATGAGTACAGGTGTGAACACCATGAGTATAGGTGTAAACACCATGAGTACAGGTGTTAACATCATCAATACAGGTGTGAACACCATGAGTACAGGTGTTAACATCATGAGTACAGGTGTTAACACCATGAGTACAGGTGTTAACATCATCAATACAGGTGTGAACACCATGAGTACAGGTGTGAACATCATGAGTACAGGTGTAAACACCATGAGTACAGGTGTTAACACCATGAGTATAGGTGTAAACACCATGAGTACAGGTGTTAACACCATGAGTACAAGTACAACATCATCAATTCAGGTGTGAACACCATAAGTACAGGTGTTAACATCATGAGTACAGGTGTTAACACCATGAGTACAGGTGTTAACACCATGAGTACAGGTGTTAACATCATCAATACAGGTGTGAACACCATGAGTACAGGTGTGAACATCATGAGTACAGGTGTAAACACCATGAGTACAGGTGTTAACACCATGAGTATAGGTGTAAACACCATGAGTACAAGTACAACATCATCAATTCAGGTGTGAACACCATAAGTACAGGTGTTAACATCATGAGTACAGGTGTTAACACCATGAGTACAGGTGTTAACATCATCAATTCAGGTGTGAACACCATGAGTACAGGTGTGAACATCATGAGTACAGGTGTGACCATTGTCAGTACAGGTGTGAATATCATGAGTACAGGTGTGACCATTGTCAGTACAGGTGTGACCATTGTCAGTACAGGTGTGAACATTGTCAGTACAGGTGTGACCATTGTCAGTACAGGTGTGAACATTGTCAGTACAGGTGTGAACATTGTCAGTACAGGTGTGACCATTGTCAGTACAGGTGTGAACATTGTCAGTACAGGTGTGACCATTGTCAGTACAGGTGTGAACATTGTCAGTACAGGTGTGACCATTGTCAGTACAGGTGTGAACATTGTCAGTACAGGTGTGAACATTGTCAGTACAGGTGTGAATATCATGAGTACAGGTTTGACCATTGTCAGTACAGGTGTGACCATTGTCAGTACAGGTGTGACCATTGTCAGTACAGGTGTGACCATTGTCAGTACAGGTGTGAACATTGTCAGTACAGGTGTGACCATTGTCAGTACAGGTGTGAATATCATGAGTACAGGTGTGACCATTGTCAGTACAGGTGTGAATATCATGAGTACAGGTGTGAACATTGTCAGTGCAGGTGTGAATATCATGAGTACAGGTTTGACCATTTTCAGTACAGGTGTGACCATTGTCAGTACAGGTGTGAACATTGTCAGTACAGGTGTGAACATCATGAGTACGGGTGTGAGAAACATCAGTGCAGGTGTGAACATGGTCTGTAAGGATTTGAACATGGTCAGTACAAGTGTGATATGCTGTCTCTGATGGTAAAATCAGAAAAAATTACCAATATCTTTGTCTCAATTGCCATGGTATCATAAATTTATGGCTTAAATAGTCTTGCAGCTTTTTTCACCATTGTACCTTTAACTCGCTCTCTCACTTGTTCATGGACATCATTGATATACACTATATGAACATGTGGGATTTTCAGAGACTACAAGTGTCAATCCTTTCTTCAATTCTGGATAGCCTTCACTGACCATTGATAAGGTGGCAGTACAAGCTCTCCTTTGGGATGACAGTTCTTGGTGTAGTTGTCAGGCTCGTTATCGGACTGATTTAAATTCAGATCAGACATAAACAGAGTGATTATGTTAAAGATGCCTGAGCAGATTTTTAGTACTTTTCTCTAGGAATTCATTGCCATCAAATGCAAAATGTATTTAGATTTTTACTGCAAACAATTTTACTTGATTTTTTATGTACCGCAGATGGCATAAAGTGAACACCAATACTTGTAGCGTATGAGCAGAATTTTTGAGTAATCAGTTGAATCTGTTCATGTGTGGTATTTTTCACTTGAATGGAAATTTTCTGTGTTTTCTATGGCAGGCCTGCTGGTAATTAAGGGGTGATGCACTTGCATGTGATTTAAGCTTATTAGGTTCATTGAAATGAGATTAGATACAATACCATGTGATGGGAGGGACTGTTTCTAGGGACTTCACATGGTGGGAGGGATGAGACTATATCTAGAAAGGAAATGTGTGAGGGAGGGGGCCTGTTTTAGGGATGAAATGTTGTGTGAGGGAGGGGGCATGTTCTAGAAGTTAAATTTGGTGGGAAGAAGGGGACTTGTTCTAGAGATGAAATGTAATGGGAGGGAGGGGGCGTGTTCTGGGGGTGAAATGTGATAGGAAGAAGGGGCCTTATTCTAGAGATAAAATGTGATGGGAGGGAGGGGGCTATCTAGAGATGAAATGCAATGGGAGGGAGGGGGCTATCTAGAGATGAAATTCGACGGGAGGGAGGGGGCTATCTAGAGATGAAATGTGCTTGGAGGACGGGGGCTTGTTCTAGAGATGAAATGCGATGGGAGTGAGGGGGCTATCTAGAGATGAAATGCGATGGGAGGGAGGGGGCTATCTAGAGATGAAATGTGATGGGAGGAAGGGGGCTTGTTCTAGAGATGAAATGTGATGGGAGGAAGGGGGCTTGTTCTAGAGATGAAATTTGATGGGAGGGAGGGGGCTTGTTCTAGAGATGAAATGCGATGGGAGGGAGGGGGCTATCTAGAGATGAAATTCGATGGGAGGGAGGCGGCTATCTAGAGATGAAATGTGATGGGAGGAAGGGGGCTTGTTCTAGAGTTGAAATTTGATGGGAAGAAGTGGACTTGTTCTAGTGATAAAATATGATGTGACGGAGGGGATTGTTCTAGAGTTGAAATGTGATGGGAGGACATGAGGTCACATAAGGTTATCTCCTTGTCCAGTCAATGTGGAGGTCTCAGATGATGTCATCTCGTAGTCCAATCATTGTAAAGGTTACATACAGTTGAGGTCATTTTTTACCTACAGATGTAATGGTTACTTTGATGGTTATATGACAGACATATTCAATACATATTGGGAAAATAAGCAGTATCTCTATCTGATTGACAAGAAAGTTTGACAACAAGGCTTAACAATGATGTAGTAAGGTACACAGTTGCCACCACAAGGCTGAAGAAAGGTTTAGATGTAGTGAGGTATACAGTTGTCACCACAAGGCTGAAGAAAGGTTTAAATGTATTGAGGTATACAGTTGTCACCACAAGGTTGAAGAAAGGTTTAAATGTATTGAGGTATACAGTTGTCACCACAAGGCTGAAGAAAGGTTTGGATGTAGTGAGGTATACAGTTGTCACCTCAAGGCTGAAGAAAGGTTAAGATGTATTGAGGTACACAGTTGTCACCTCAAGGCTGAAGAAAGGTTTAAATGTATTGAGGTATACAGTTGTTAGCAGTTTAGATGATGTTTTAAGGTGCATTATTTTCACAACAGCGCTGAAGAAAGACCTATTCAGACAATCACAAACAGACACATTTGTTATGAAAGTATTAAAATCTGGAGATAAAGAATATGAAGGTTTTCTTACCTGTTCTTTTCTATGTTACAGACCACACCTGTACGAGGGGAACCCAACTCTGCAGAGGTAAGTTGTCTTTCATTATTGAGTAAATGGAAGTTAAAAGTCAGTGAATGTTCCTGTAGAATGATGTCCTGGGCATCTTTTATCAAAGTTCATGAATGTTCCTGCAGGATGATGTCCTGGGCATCTTTTATCAAAGTCCATGAATGTTCCTGCAGAATGATGTCCTGGGCATCTTTTATCAAAGTTCATGAATGTTCCTGCAGAATGATGTCCTGGGCATCTTTTATCAAAGTCCATGAATGTTCCTGCAGAATGATGTCCTGGGCATCTTTTATCAAAGTTCATGAATGTTCCTGCAGGATGATGTCCTGGGCATCTTTTATCAAAGTCCATGAATGTTCCTGCAGAATGATGTCCTGGGCATCTTTTATCAAAGTTCATGAATGTTCCTGCAGAATGATGTCCTGGGCATCTTTTATCAAAGTCCATGAATGTTCCTGCAGAATGATGTCCTGGGCATCTTTTATCAAAGTCCATGAATGTTCCTGCAGAATGATGTCCTGGGCATCTTTTATCAAAGTCCATGAATTTTACAACCGAATGATGTCCTTTCTATGTGTTAAATCTCAAAAGACCTCCTCTAATTAATGGAAAAGGTCTGATATCATTATGGTAAATAGTTTCCAGAAATGATGTCTGTCAAAGTTTGCATTAAGAAATGACCTTGTCCTATACTTTAAGTCAAAGGAGTCAGATGTTCCAACAACTTTCTTTAATTAACTGAAATACCTAGAATGATGATATTTGACCCTGGTCCCTGGGATAAAGCCTGACTAAAATTTACTAAAAAAGTTACCTTGACCGATATTCAAGAACACAGCGATCAATTGTGGTGAAATGCTCATATAACTTCTTATAAACCATAAGGTCTAGAATCATGTTGTTGTCTGATAAGTTCCAGAGATAAAGTGGACAATCAATTCTAAAATGATGATGATCCTAACAACTGGAGGTGAAGGTGTCAGATTTATCAAAACATTCAAATGGCATCACACAAATAATGTTTATCTTGCAATGTAAGCAATCTGGTTTGAAGGTTTTGAAAAGACATTACACTTTGAATATCAATGACACATATATTTATATATACGGTATAGCTGGTCATTTTCACGGCTCAAAATTATTGTGATTTCTTTTAAATAGAATTATATTTGAATGAATTCAAATTTTGTGCTCTGGATGTAAATGACATCTAATACAAAAGTGTCTCATTTTTCTACAGACTAAATTTTATGACCACTTGAATATACCTAAAAATAGCAAAAATATTATTCCTGTGAAAATAATGGCTATATGGTGTAAGGTTAGTCATACAGGCCCATAGGACCTGTTCTTATTTTAAGTTCCTGATATTATGATCTGTTTTTACAGTTTCATGTCACAGCCTGATCATATCTCAGACATTCTTTCGGTTTGAAACTGGCAAAACTAGCATGGTCAATTTATTAGTGAACTGGCTGCAGAAATGATCCCAAAAAACTGTAAAATTATGAGAACTGATTGCCCCATTTTGTTATGTGGATGCCTTTTTTAAGACAAGTTGACACGAAACAAGGTAGAGGAATTGTGGGTAGTTTTGGAAGATAAAAGTTTATTCTTGGCAGTTTGATTAACAGAAGTGATTGCTAGTGTTATGTCCAGTATATTGTGATCAGGTTTCTGCTTGCAATCAGGCTTTAGTTGATGGAGCCTGGTGACCATAGAAGGAACCCCACAGGGCAGAAGTGCCGGATACAGGGGAACAGATTGCATGTTTGACAAGTGTGTAGGTGTATGCTAGACTTGGTAGACTGCTGTCAAGTGTGTAGAGAATACTGGAAGCTTTGTTGCCTGTAATTGGTATGGTGAGGTCAGCTCTCTGGTGTGAAGCCTTTACTCCATATTTGTAGCTTTGTTGTCTGTCAGTGATTTCATGAGGTCAGCTGTCCAATATATAAACAACACTTGTAGCTTTGTTGTCTGTCAATGGTTTTGTGAGATCAGCTGTCTGAGGTATAGGTACAACTTGTAGCTTTGTTGTCTGTCAATGGTTTTGTGAGATCAGCTGTCTGAGGTATAGATACAACTTGTAGCTTTGTTGTCTGTCAATGGTTTTGTGAGATCAGCTGTCTGTGGTATAGATAATACTTGTAGCTCTGTTGTCTGTCAATGGTTTTGTGAGGTCGGCTGTCTGAGATATAGATACAACTTGTAGCTCTGTTGTCTGTCAATGGTTTTGTGAGGTAGCTGGTAGATGGTATGACACACAGCGATCTTGGATTTTAGGTCATCTGCCTGAAGGGAAAGTGAGTTTATGTCATTGCTAGGGGTCAGTAGTCCATCATCCATTGGAATCAGATTTTCATGGAATAAGTCATGCATCCAGCATGTCATCTATCCTGTATACCATGTCATCTATCCTGTATACCAGGTCATCCAGTCTGTATAACAGGTCATCCAGTCTGTACACCAGGTCATCCAATCTGTATACCAGGTCATCCAATCTGTATATCAGGTCATCCAGTCTGTATATCAGGTCATCCAGTCTGTATACCAGGTCATCCAGCTTGTATACCAGGTCATCCAATCTGTGTACCAGGTCATCAGTTTGTTCTTACCTGTTAGCAAGTTATTCCATGTTTTGAAAATTTTATCTTCAAAATGCACCAGATTAAATGTTTTAAGGCAAATTTTATCAAATGACCTCCATCATGAGACCTTTGAAAAATTAAACATGTGACCTCTGTCTTGAAGCATTCATAACCAGAACATGAGACTTGATATGATTATTCTAAATTTTAGTCTTTGAACCTTTAAACAGACCATATTCCCTTAATATGAGGCTATGTTGTTGGAGTGGTAGGCTTGACAGGTGTAGGCAGTGTTAGGTCTATATTGATATGTGTCTAGTCATTGTGGGATGTTTGATGTGACTAGTCTGTGTTAGGTCTTATTTGTGTCTAGTCGTTGTTTGGTATGTGATGTGTCCAGTTATTGTTAGGTCTAAGATGCATTTATCATTTATTGGGTCTGTGATGTGTCTGGTTACGTCTGACATGTGTCTTGTCAGAACTATTTTTGATCTGCTATGGTTCTTGCCAGGGTTGGGTGTTAAACTGTCTAATCAGTGTTGAGTCTGACATATGTCTTGGTAGTATTAGACCTGATTTGTCTCTTACCATAGTGGGATGTGATATGTGTGAATGTTAGATCTGACAAATGTCTAGTCAGTGTTTGACCTGACATGAGTGTGTGTTAGATTTGACATGTGTCTTGCCATATTAGTCCTGACTTGTGTCTTCCCGTAGTTGGAACTGATATGTGTGAATGTAAGACCTGACTTGTGTCTAGCCAATGTTGGACCTGACATGTGGACAGCAAGGGTATCTGATGTGTTTAGCCAGACTGTCATACCTGACGTGTGTCAGCTATTGTGTGACCTGACATGTGGACAGCAAGGGTATCTGATGTGTTTAGCCAGACTGTCATACCTGACATGTGTCAGCTAGTGTGTGACCTGACATGTGGACAGCAAGGGTATCTGATGTGTTTAGCCAGACTGTCATACCTGACGTGTGTCAGCTATTGTGTGACCTGACATATGGACAGCAAGGGTATCTGATGTGTTTAGCCAGACTGTCATACCTGACATGTGTCAGCTAGTGTGTTACCTGACATGTGGACAGCAAGGGTATCTGATGTGTTTAGCCAGACTGTCATACCTGACATGTGTCAGCTAGTGTGTGACCTGACATGTGGACAGCAAGGGTATCTGATGTGTTTAGCCAGACTGTCATACCTGACGTGTGTCAGCTATTGTGTGACCTGACATGTGGACAGCAAGGGTATCTGATGTGTTTAGCCAGACTGTCATACCTGACATGTGTCAGCTAGTGTGTGACCTGACATGTGGACAGCAAGGGTATCTGATGTGTTTAGCCAGACTGTCATACCTGACATGTGTCAGCTAGTGTGTGACCTGACATGTGGACAGCAAGGGTATCTGATGTGTTTAGCCAGACTGTCATACCTGACATGTGTCAGCTAGTGTGTGACCTGACATGAACTAGTTATGCCATCTGTCTGAGGTAGAATCTATATCTATGGAGTAGATACACTAACTGGAATGCTACAGTTTTCTCGAAGTGTTTGCTAAAGTAAGAGATATGTTGTGCAGTACTGCATCATTACCTCGCCGACCCAAGATTCCCCCAGATTGAAATTAACGACAGTGTTGGGTACAATCTTAACAAAAACCAGTAAATCTTGATGGGGATGCAAAGAACGTCTGTGGTACATCAGGAGGTGGTTGACATGGCGACACATGGTCCTATGGGAGTCAAACAGTCGGGGTCAATCAGCGCAGGAGCATCTTGGATAGAACAAGGGAAAGGATATATCACCCATTAAAATAATCAGTATGAATGAATTCAACCAATGGAGTAATTGTTAGAGAAAAATGATTGTGTCACACAGCAGTGTTGGTGCTATCAAGATGTGTCCTCCCCACGCCCTAAGTCAATTAAAATCCTATAATCCTCACAATTCCTCAAGTGAAATTTAATTCTTATTTGGTCTTCACATAAATTGAAGTTGAATACAACTGGAGGAAAATTCAATTTTTAGAACAGTGTGCTGGTACATGGTTATAGATGTGCCAATTAGGAAGTGATGTTTGATTTATCAGGAGGACATGAAATAGAAGGGACTAGATAAATGTATGTTGTAGGTCCAGTAAGGGTTGAGGAATGATCTGTAGGTCACTAGGTGGCTAGTTCACAGACTTGGTCCATTGGATGTCATATGCTTGACGTGCATAGTCAACCCAATAGTGTACCCCGGTTCAGGGCTCGGACGCCTGCCCTGGTACATCTTATATTACTAGATGTAAAAGTATACAGTTACTAAAGAAAATCATTTGTACATCACTGTTACCATTAATATAAACTTGTTCATCTCCGTTACCATAAATATAAACTTGTTTATCATTGTTACGATAGAAATAAATCTTTATACATCAC